TATATATATATATACACATACAGGAATTGTTGTAAGTTTGTTGCATATATACTACCCTGAAATTTTATAGCTTAAAGCCGCACTATGCGCATCCAAACGCTCATTTCTACAGTACTAGACTAGCAAATACTTCGTGTCATGCATATAATCACACTACCTTATGGCAAAATAAACTCTAGTTCCTCCCATTTCAGTGCGCGTTTGCTTAAAACACACAAGAAAGAGGTGCGAAATCTGGTAATCTGGTGCAAACGCTAAATTGTTTGCCAAACAATTTCGCCAAGAATCGGTTAGGTGACGTCACATGTTTTTATCTTTGCTACACCCGTACTGCTGTACCGGGAGGAACTAGAGTTTATTTTGTCATAATGTATAGTGCGATTATGCATGACACGAAGTATTTGCTAGTCTAGTACTGGAGAAATTCGCGTTTGGATGCGCATAGTGCGGCTTTAATTGTTACTATATTCGCATTTTACTATAGCTGAGGACCTAATTTAACATGAGATTAGGCTAACAGGATAATTACTTTTTATTATTTATCACATTTTAGGGTTATTACTTATTTTTTACAACATCTATAAGGATATGGCAGCCGTGCTGATACTACAGCTATGCTGACAAGGGACGTACGTTGTAGCACGTGTGATTAAGTTAGGTTTAGTTAAGTTATTAAGAGGGGTGGGCAGGTTAACCGCGCTAGCGCTGTGCAACGAAAAATGGTGGTTTGCAACCGCGTGCAACCTGCCCACCCCTCCACTTGGAAATACATTGTGCCCGCTCACTAGAGCGACTAGCGAAAAATGGCGGTTACAAGTTGGTAAACAATCTTCGTCGACGAGCAATATAGCAAGTACAACATTTAAGCGTTAGTTTGCGGTTTAATTTTAGTGTTTATAGTACCTTAAGACATTTGTGCGGCAGAGAATGCGCGTTATTTGGCATACCAAAGAAGTTATTAACCGCAAAAACGTTGTCTTTGCTTACTCCCTGAAAATTGCCATAGTATGTTCTATAGCCCTGCGGCGGAGCGGCGGGCTATAGTTCTAGAGCTAATATACAGTGACACAACAGTGTCAGTGGAACTGTAATTGAGAGGTACGGTAGTATTTGTGAATGTGCGTTCATATTATTTCCAGTTTTTACTGACTCTGTCCCAAGTGCCTGTGTACAGTACTTAGTAATAATATTTCGTGATCAAGGACAGTTTGAGATTCCGCAAATGTGTTTCCGCATTATGTGCTAAACAGTAAACTAATCCGGGTTGCTAAACGAGGCTTTGACATGCATAGTGACACTGACGCTGATAGTGATAGGGTCTATTTCCCCCGGGGTACTGCCGGAACGTACCCTAGGTACGGTCCGGTATACCGGAACGTACCTTGGTACTATATTATATGCTGGACCGTACCTCGCCTACTCCACTAACGAGTCTAGGGAGTCGCCTACGCCTACTCCCTAACCCTAATCCTAACCCTAACCATATCCAATAGTGACCAGGGTACGTTCCGGTATACCGGACCGTACCCAGGGTACGTTCCGGCAGTACCCTGGGGGACATAGACCCTATGAGCGACACGGACAGTAGTGTTAGACAGCGATAACGGATAGGCAAAAAATCATTGAGTAGAAGGGACCGATAACATGAAAACGACAGCTGTAAGTGTAAGTGTAAATTGACGGTACAGTAACAAAACACGTCACTAGTCAGTACTGCCAGTAGTCAGTAGTCAGGGTGTGATTCATCATTCACTGATTAGTGCCAGTGTGATTGACGAATGGAATAGAGTCAATAAAGTCACATATTTCACACAGTAATTAAACAGTGTAACCTTGAAATTCGCCATCGCTATGTTTTTGCAAGTCGTGTAGTCTGAACAGAGTAGTTGAGTGTAAACTGTTGTCAACAACTGTTGTCAAAAACTGTTGACTGTTGTAAACAAGACTGTTGTCAGTGGGCGCAGACATATTGTGGATGTTCTTGTGTAAATAGCATGACGTACGTGTTGTGTACAGTTGCTCTGTTGTTTTAACTCTAGCAGAAGCCAAAAGATGCCAAAGAGTGTCCCAAAAGGATGAGTGACTTAAGTCTAACGTTGTCGAACCTGTTTTAGTTAATTTATTTATATTAACGTGGCAATATTCAGTGAAAGCTTTTACGATGAGGCTGATAAGCCGGTTACTTTCGGACGCTAGCAAGGTTGTGAAGTCATTGGATTTCTACTCGCAGTACAATCCGTCTCCGCTGTCCATAAAACAGTTTATCGACTTCGGTAAGGCCGCAAAACAAAATTTATAATAATAATATGTTCATTTATGTCAGTGACAATGAAAATGTCATGATCATGCAGTCGCGTTGCGACTGACTCTCTCGTTAATATAACGGGCGATAGAACTGTAGTAAAACTTTTACTAGTTTTAATTAGCAACAATAATTGTCATGTTATGTTATGTTATGTTCTCATACTTGTCGGTGTCCACTACGCTGGATATAATGACAAGGTGACAGGTCATGGCTTTTAGTAGTTTTACTTTTAGTTTTCACAGTGGCTACGCGTCCGGAACCACTGGCAGCAAGAACAAGCCCGCACGTACACTGTACAGCACACACGCGGCGGCCATTGTCATTGTCACATTGACTATACTAGTAGTATATATATAGTCAATGGCCGCTGCGTGTGTGCTGTACGTACGTGCGTGCTTGTTCTTGCTGCCAGTGTCCGGAACCGGTCGCTTAGCCTCCAAGCTACGCACCCGGACATCCACTCACACAGTGATCGCCTCGGGGGACCTGCGTACAAGATGATTGCGCAAACGGGACGCTCTGCTGATTGCCGTAAATATACAATATATGCACTGCTGCCGTCTATCCTTTCATCGATCCGTTCTCTCGCTCTCTCTCTCTCTCATCTCACACACACATCTAGCTCTCTCTCTCTCTCTCAACAACACACCTCTTAGCTCTTCTCTCTCTCTCTCTCTTTCTCTCACACACACACACACACACGTGCACACACACACAGTCACACACACACACCTCTAGCTCTCTCTCTCTCTCACGCATACACACACACATACACATTCGCTCTCTCTCTCTCTCTCTCTCTTTCTCACGCACACACACACACACTCAGCAATCAGCAGAGCGTCCCGTTGCGCAATCATGCGTGTACGTGTCGCAAGATCACTGTATGAGATGGATGTCCGGACGCTTAGCCTAGCGGCTCCTCGTCCGGAACCAGTCGCCTAGCCACGGCCTTTAGTTTTACTAAAACAGTGTGCTGGCGCTGCTGCAACAGTGCTAGCCCCCAACGAGGCTGTGCGACTGATTGTCTATACAGGACTGAGGTGTTCTATACAGGTCTACTATACACGTCTATACAGGTCTTCTAACCCTAGCAATACCGTTTCTTGGAGCTACAACAGTGAAAGAGTTAAACTAGGATAGCACACTGAGTGAGGATAGGGCCAACCCTCCATTTCATAGATAATTATTATTAATTACAATTAGTTACAATAAGTTTACAACAAGTTACGGCCCAATGATATTAAGAGCTGGTCACATTTGCACATGTCGCACATTTCTGAAAATGAATTGGGGACATCGCTTATATCCTTGAACCCAAGTTGCAATAAGTTACAATGGTATACAAATTAGTTCAATAAGTGGGATGAACAAAAATGAATACCGTACCTAAGCACACACAGTGCGTGAACATCGCAGCTTTATAGTCGTTGTATACTAAAACATGGTAAAGCTAATAATATACACTGCTTTGTGTGTGTCAAGATATCATGAACATATTATTATAATATTAGGGTTCTCCCCAGGAATTTTACAAGGCAAGTTGGGCAATCAAGCAATTTATCCCAAATTGCTGTTTGGAGTTAGTTATGCATGTCGTAAGGAGCCCGAATACACACGTAAACTCGATCAGTTGGGAGACATATATACCTCAAGCTGTGAAAACACAGAATGACTGTTGGAATTTGCAAAAGTAAACAGAGCTAGAAATTAAGGCATGTCGGAGCATTCATGGTGTATGTGGCAAATTGGCTTCAACTTTGAAGGCATTTCAGACCTGCCCAATCTGCAATAAATGCCTGGGGAGTGCCTGAATATATATATACATACCATATGGTGGATATATGTGTTCATGGTAATATAATAATATTACTTATGGTCCAGGTCATGCAAGAGAAATCATTTAGAGTTTTCTCTGCATAGATAAGTATTTATTTTGGAGAGGTATGTGGCTTCAATGTATAAATGCCTGTCAATTAAGATAATTGCTCAGTTTCTGTTCAATGTAGAGGTGGTTGCTAACAAAGGTGTGACTGTGTGTATTTTCAATGCTCTTTTAATTCAGTTTCTTGTTCATGTAACGTTTCATGCTTTCAATATAAATTTCCTCTTTAACAAATGTTGATACATTTTATAAATGGCTAAAAAAAGTTTGTTGCTATAGTCTTTAGGGATGATATAGATGCTGTAAGTTCTGAAACATCCATGGGTTTGGTAATTGGCATTTCTTTTATGTGATGTCAGTAAGATGTGGTGCAGCCTGTGTATGTAAGTGTGCCTATATGTCATTGTATAGTCGTGACTTGTGCCGCTGTTAAATACAATTTGAGAACATAAACATAATTATTTTAACAAGATGCAGCTTTACCAACTTATGCTATTCAGGGCCATAGTCTGTCGGGGGGAGGGGATTGAGGCACCCCTAGATTTTGGAGCAAAATTTAAGAAAAAAGCTGGGCTATAATAATCGTAAATAACCCTAACGTGATTTTCCGAGAAACCGAGAACCGGCTTTCCCGAGCCAGGAGGGTTGTAGAAAATGCCTTCGGCATCCTGGCCAACCGTTTCCAAGTTCTCCTGAGCACGATGCAGCAGCAGCCCGAGACCGTCAAGCTCATTGTCACAGCATGCATGACCGATGCCGTTTGCTGGCTGTGCGTTGAATGCGCGTTGCATGCGCAAACCATTCGTTCCGTGCGCTAGAAATATGCTGTCAGGGTTCTCCAAGCTTTGAAATTATAGCATGGAGGTGCTAGTCAGTGCTAGGCAGGTTCGGGGGCATGCCCCCGAAAATTTTTTGAATTGTAGAAGCTTTGAGATGCAATCTGGGACACTCTGTGTGTAAATTTGAAGCACTGCATGTGGGGTGAAAATGTTTGTTTTGCATGGGCAAAGCCATCGGAAAATTCAAAATAATTAATGGAATAAAAATACCAAAATGTAGGGGTGAACTTGCTGGTTTGCTGGTTCCAAATCGAGTTCACCTCTCATAAAAAAAAAATGTCACCATTGACAATGGCAGGAGTGGTCGGTAAGTGTACCAGCCTACTCTACCTCGTGTTAGACTGGGTTACCTGCCCCAAAACTCTCGGATTTGAAGTATGAAAATGAACATTATTGTGCCAGCTAGCCGAGACACCAGTTGGTTGGGATTGATTGTCAGTTCAGATGCAAAATATTTAAAGCAAAAGATTATACACCATAGATTAATTTTGGTACTATAACACGCGTATATAAGATAGCCGAGTCGGTTTAGAGTTAGTGTTAGGGTTAGGGATAGGGTGACTGTTTGTACTTGTGTGTGGGACTGCCGTACCCGTAGCATCGAAACCAACATGTATTAATTGTTTTAACTTCTTGTGTATACACCAGCATGGCGGCTATGATATTTAGCATGGCGGCTATGATATTTAGCGTGGCGGGTGCATTTTAGGATGGCGGGGCTCGCCGATAGCCTGGCAGGCCGCCAGGCTATAAGTGCCCTTGGAGAATCCTGTCTGTGCATTCGTTGGATTTTTTAACATGTGCGCCTTGTATACGCTCTGTATGCGCTCTGTATGCGCCCTGTAGACGCGCAGCGCACTAGCAACACGCTGTGTATTCGTTGTCAACTCGCTAGCTTCTCCCAAATCCTGACAAAAGTTGGGCGCACAACGACGCACTGATCTTATTTTCCATTTTTTCAATGCGCGGGCCGTGCGTCGCGTATCTGTGACTGGGCCCCCACACAAGTCAATTTAGTATATATATGTCTATTGTGCTACTCAAGGTTGTCCTAATTTTACAAATACATGACGGACGAACATGCATGCAAGCACATACCAAGACTGGACCATCTCTACTGATGGCATCTGAAGCAAGTTCTCTGGCAGCAAGTTGATCTCTTTCATGATGTTGGCCAGTCTTACAGGAAGTTCTTTCCGTAGGAAAAGAAAAGATGTCAGCTCACAGCCCGTCTTACCTGTAAAATTTCACATGTCGGGCATTTTATATTGGCTATGTAATATAATATTATGGAAATTAGTAAAATAACTTGTATTGACAGTGAGTCCAAAAACCATCTAATCTCTGACCCTTGTCAGTCGTAAACAGAGTCCCAATGCTGTGAAAAAAATACAAGGATAGTCAGCCAACTTGCCAAGGGTCACCGTAAATAATATACTAGTGTGCATTACTGCAGTCTCGCAGCTGGGGATCACCAGGAAGTCATTGCTACAGCACCAGCATGTGTGAGCCAATATAGATCTACATCAAGGGCTAATAATACCAGGATACTTGAGGTGTTTACAGTTTATAAGCTCTTGATCTACATGCAGGAAGCTCTGGTACAGATAGTACCAGGCCAGTGCTGTATATATACAAACAAATAGCCACATGTTCAGCTTGATTTATAAATACACTCTAGCCTGACGTGGCAGTGTTTTACTTTGGTTGAAAAAACAAAAAGAATACCACAAGAAGTCCAGCATAACTGAAGCCAGCCAATGTCCAGCCAACATAAGAAAAAGAAGGCCACAATAATGCTGCCTTTGAAAAGAACATCTTTTTCTCTTCGTATTTTTGTTACAAATTTAAGCCAAACAAATTAATTGGCACATTTGATTGCCTTCACTTTTTAGCTCATCCTGTCATCTGACGTAGTCGTAGTAGAATCGCATGATCGTGCGTGCGTCTGTGCGTCTGTGCGTCTGTGCGTCCGTGCGTCCGTCAACAGTTGGGCACAAATCTTAACCGCTCGACAAATGGTCACGATATTCGGAACGTCGGGGGGAGGGGGGGGATCGTGAAAAGGACTCAGAATGACAAATTTGGGGGTCAAGGGTC